TATTCCTCAAGCTGCTCTGTGTCTGTCTGCTGCTAGATATCTTTGATTGCCTTTATTTTTTTGAGAGCGTAATGGCTGTATTTTGATGAAAGCAGCATCTTGATTGACTCCTGACCAATCACAAGCTCTCCATCTCGTTAAACGGATGTTTAGAAAAGTGGGTCGACTCCGTCCGTTCTCGCGAGCCTGCTGGAGAGCCCATACAAGGACGGATAATGGCGTTGCGTGTCTCCGTCCCGACACAGATGGAGAAGTACATATAAATTAGGCAATAGGCTGCTGCCTCTGCGACCCGACCCCAGATAAAGGCAGGAAAATGGATGGAGGATTCCAGCAGGATTCAGAGTGCTGCAATGGCAGAAATTAGCTTTGAGTCTCAAAGAAGGGGCCTTAATCACTTACTTTTTATAGCTATTGATCATTCTCAGTCTTCCATTCATTAGAGTCCAGTTTGTACTAGTTTGGTTCCAAATCTAATCAAAGCTCTACAGACAGACCCTTGCAGGTTGCCATAATCCCAGGATTATAATCTGTCTGTTTTCAAGCTGATAAACTCACTTTCACTGAGAAAGCTCAGGGTTCTGGAAACAAAAAGGTTTCACAGACACAAAACTTTGCAGTAATCTGAGACAGACTGATGTGTGTTTGAGTGTTAATCTGACTCGAGTCACCCAACTAGAGCAGCAGAGAGGAGAGAGAGTCCACGTGTGAGTCTCACACAGGCGGAACGGTTTTTGACTAGACACCGGGCTCATTCAAATGCTTCTATTGTGTCTAAGATGTTCACTATGTGGTGTGTCCATGTTTAAAACCAACATATTCTCACACCCAAAGCATCAAATAATGACGCGTGCAGTGTTTCCCCTAGGAATTTTTCCAGCTGTGGTGGTGGTGGGGGGGGGGTCTCACCTTTATGTTAATATTGTTTTATTTGATGCTCTCCACTTTGAACTGCACCAATCCAGCAACTGCTGCATTTGCACAAAAATAATTTTTGTTTTAAACTCTAGTGACACACTTTGCAGGGTGGATTTGACATTTAATTTTTCTTGGCGTCTGGAAAAACATCTTCATTTTTCCAACACACAGTTAAACAAAACAATGTTGATTGAGGTGTGTGTGTGAGAGAGAGGGGGAGAGTTAAAATTTTTTTTAAAAACCCCGACCGGAGTGGAGGCAGTGACCGACACATGCACGAGCCGTTTTCAACTCTGTCTTGTCAAAAGCACCACGTACGTTACGAAAAAAGTAACTTTAAATATTCAAGCGAAAATGAGGCGAGCTGAAGAAAACCTAGGGAGTACTGAAGAAACGTCAGCACAGTGAAGCAAGCACAGAGAGATCCGTTACTGTGCGTGCACGTGTGTGTGTGTGTGTGTGTGTGTGTGTGTGTGTGTGTGTGTGTGTGTGTGTGTGTGTGTGTGTGTGTGTGTGTGTGTGTGTGTGTGTGTGTGGGTGTGTGTGTGGGTGTGTGTGTGTGTGGGTGTGTGTGGGTGTGTGTGTATAGGTGTGTATGGATGGGCCGGACGGACTGAGCTCCCGGCTGCGGACTGAGCTCCCGGCTGCAGTTTTGTGTGTAGGGAGGGGCGGGCGATCTATGTGACTGGCCAATCACAGAGCGTGAAGACAGTCAGTTACCCAATGAGGATTTTCCTTCAGCACGATTACAGATATTTACGAGTTTTACTCGTTTCATGCTCGTATTCGTCAAAAATGCTTTATCTGTACCGGATACTAATCTGAAATGAGTATCCGGCTCATCCCTAGCTGTAACCACCCTGCCTCCTCCTCCTTGCTGCCTGCCGGCTATGATCACAAGCAACAACAGAGTAGTTCCCGCTGCTTCTTCGGAAAACGGCGCAAAAAAAAAAAATCAATAAAACTTGGGATCTTGTAGGCGTGGCACTGGGATTTCAGCCGTGGCGGGCCGCCATGGCTACGCCTATGTAAGGGAAACACTGCGCGTGTGACCAAGTGTCAAAATATGACGATTAGGGAGCCCCAGCGCATCGGGAGAGGACGCGCAGGGACACACTGTGCCAGAGCGTCAGATACAGACGCCCGCGATGAGACGGACATTTGACCATCTTATGTACTTCTTAAACTTCCCCTCACCCCATTCTAAACTTAAGCTTTGCATGCACAACCTAGTTAATTGGAAATTACTAAATTAAGGTTAGGATGGGGGTGAGGGGAAGGTTAGATCGCTAGAGGTTCGAGGAATAATGTCCATGCCACTGCGGGCGTCGGACACTGACGCCCCCGGTGACACGTGTCCCTGCGCGTCTTCTCCCGACGCGCTGGGGCTCCGCTTGGTCACACGGGTCATTATTTGACGCTTTGTGTGTGAGAATGTGTTGTTAAAACACACAGGTTAAACTTGTCTTAGTTATGTGCTCCCCCATAAACGGTCCCATCACTGCACTTTCTCAATCTTTTGCATCCCTCAAAATTCTGTTATTACCATAAATAAAATTAAATAACATTTTTAATGCTCATATCCAAATCTCAGTACATCCAAATCACACACACACACCATCTGAATACGGATCATGGTAATATGCTCCATGTTTCATAAATACAGATTTATTGTTTAAAAATATTTTATATGAAGGCTGGCAGGACTCGAGTGACTCATCACAAGACCAACTCTTACACAATGTTCTGGTACTTCTGCGGACTGAATCATCTTCTGCGGTTTGTTGAGCTGCATTGTGAACGACGCACTCAGCCTTGTGCAACAAGCCATCTGACAAACCGTTTACCTCCTGCTGGAATTCACCAATCAGGAAGAAAATTTACAAGAGCTACAGATCCACGGCATGATCAGAGAGAGCAGCTACAAACTCCCTCAAAACCCTGACACACACACACACAACTCTAAAAATTTACTCAACCCCGAACCCATCGTTTATCATCACAGAACGTGTGAAGCTGTGGTGATGCGGGACACAGAATGTCCTTGTAAGTGTAAAGTTATGTTTATTACACTGATTCAGCTCATAATTGTACCCAAAGTGACAAACAGTGGAGAAGCACTGAGTGTGTACAACACTGAATAGGTTTGCAGAGTTCTTTTAGCACAGAGATGCTTGAATAACTTCTAAGATGAACGACTTAATGTTTCAGAAAAAGAGATCTGGGAATGTGGGAAGCAATCCCAACACTCATGTGATGTGGTACAGCCTGTGTCTGGAACCTAGGCTGAGACAAAACCAGGGACAAAAAGATCCGATAGCATCAGTTATGTGGTACTACCTACTAAAGGAGGCCATATCACACTATACTGCACAATGTAAAAGAAAAGCACCAAAGGTCAGAAGTGTTATCCCGTTTCAGCAGCTGGGGCACGCTTCATTTTAAGCTTCTGCTGGAATGCTTTTAGGTATTGCCCGATTCTCCACAGTCCCCAGACCAAACTTGATTCATAATGGATCTGCAGCAGACCACCCCCATGTCAACACACGAGGTACAGGTCCACGAGAAACTAGTGCAACATGATGCAGGTGGTGACAGTCGGATTAAAAAGCTGATGTTGTTTAGTTACACAAATACCAACTAAGCTTAACTTGATTGGTTCTTCTCAGCAGAGGTAGAAAATCCTGTCTAAAATGCAAAGTAAAAGCAACCTGAAATGGCTTTGCTATCATACAAATTATTTACTCTCATGCAACCACATTCCTTACAGACAGGTGACGCCCATCAGGCCTAAAGGAGGCAACTAACCGGGAATCCCTTCAGTGGATCCGAACACCAACACAGACAGCCTCATAAGAATAAAGAAATATTTGTTCATCTAATATTGAATAAGTTCCTCTTGTGTAGTTTTACTCCACATGAGCACTCTGCTATCTTGGCAATAATGGAACATAAACAGTTTTCTAGACAGCATGTCAATAAGCCCTGTAATCTGGCCCATAACGGATCCTCCAGGCAGACAGAAGAGTGTAGATAAATAAGTAGGACACATTCAATAAAAAGTGACAGCAGTCAACTCTAAACAACTCCCCCAACATGCACAAAACTTTTAATAAAACAACCTACCTGCCCAAATACAAAAATATATTTGATATTAGACCAAAATGTAAAAAAGGTTAAACTAAATTATTGAATTTACTCAAAAGATGTGATTTGATGACAAAACAGATTCAAATTTGTTTTAGGTCGGAGGATGATAATGGAAACCAGAACATTTGGCCCCAAAAGTGTTGGAAGATGAAGGTCTGACAATTTCCTCACGTCATCAGGTAAATCATTCATGTGTACACTTATATCTCTTTATTGTCCAAAATCACCACAGTGCTACATGCACAAATAGCTATTTATTTATATGCAGAAAGTCAAATCGTATGTCTGAGCGGAGCTCCAGCCAGAAACCCTTCCCAGAAAAACACCAACAAAGACTTTTCTGGTTATTTTGGTTAAGGAGAGAAAAAAAGATGTGACATGAAAAGGGAGGTTGCTAACGACGAACATCTGAGGAGAACCCCTGACTGACTGACAAACAGACAGCAAAGGGCAGCCTGCTTGACAAAACATCAAAGAGCACACAGCTGGTAAAATCCACCCCCATCCAGCCCTGTTGCTCTTTCAGATGGCCCACGACCAGTTGCAACCTCAGCTCAGTCATTACCCCAACCTAAATCACAAGCACTCACATCTTCCACGTTCAGCTATTTATAACTTCCAATCATCACAACCAGCTCCTCGGACACGGGCTTATTCAGTTTTATTTGTAATGCACCACTTTTAGCTTTTTACATGTTAAAACTGTGGAAAAAGCTGATTTTGACAACAATGGTAGGAAAAAATGCAATGCATGCAATGCATGAAATATTAGTAATCAATTAAAAACAATCTACAATTGCACAAGAGACTGGAGTGAAGTGGCTTACGATGAAATGCAGTTATTTAATATTAGAGGAGTGAGACGATGAAATGAGAAAATAATCTTTAAATATTCATAGAGGAAGTAAAATAAGTGTTATATTTATAATTACCTTCATGTCGTTCATGATGAGCTGGAAAAGCCCTCCCAAGGCGCTGCATTCCTTCTCTATACCCGCATCCATTTTTCCACAGGCTCGGAAAAATCCTCCTCAACCTCCCAGCAAGTACAACTTTTTACCTCCCCCCCAAAAAAGAAACTTCCACGTAAGTTTTTAAATCCTCCCACAGAAAAATCAATATAGACGTTTTTATCAGAGGGGGGTTGTTTCCATCCCCCAAAGAACAAAGTCCGCTTTAAAGAAAAGGGTCAAAACGGGAGTGAATACAGGAGCAGGAAGAATGAGTAAATAGGAGATGAAACGGGAGTTTAAAAAAAATCCAGGTCGGAGAAGCTCTAGCGTTAGGCTGTAGTCAGCCGATGCTACCAGCCGGCCAACTTGATAAATGTCCCCAAAAACACAACATCATGACTGGATCACGCAGCGGAACGTCTGGAAAACGCCTGGCTGCCTTAGGAAAGCTGGCCCCGCTTGGTTTTTACCTCGATAAAAGGAAAGAACGCCTCACCTCTGGCTGCTAACTTAGCTAACAATGTTAGCCAGGCAACCTGTGACTGTGCGTGTGCCCAAACCAACGCGCACTTTACGTGTGGACCGACACGCGCAGACACGGGTCGTCGTGATCAATTACGTCGTACAAAAATAATCGATACGGGTCTTATCTGTGGTCCGGCTCGAATTGAAGACCCTCCGTCGCCTCTCCTGAGTGTATGAGAATGGTTTGGTTTGTTTTCTTGTGAGTTTTGTCCGCAGTCTCCCTGCCGTTCCTCCAACGGGAGTTCTAACCTGGAGTGAATGAGATTCTCCCAAACTCCGCGTGAAGTCAGGCGGAGTGACATCCACAACTTCCGCTGTAGAATTTCAAAATAGAGAGAGAGAGAGAGAGAGAGAGAGAGAGAGAGAGAGAGAGAGAGAGAGAGAGAGAAAGAGAGAAAGAGAGAGAGAGAGAGAGAGAGAGAGAGAGAGAGAGAGAGAGAGAGAGAGAAAGAGAAAGAGAAAGAGAGAGAGAGAGAGAGAGAGAGAAGTTGCAACAAACTATAGGCTGATTATGATTTTCAGTCATGTGACCGAAGAGTAAACTTACTACATGGCGGCCACTAGTGGACATATGGTAGCACTGCAGGACAAATATGCAAATTTTCCACCTAACGCCAGACAACCTGACCTTGAGAGTCATGTGCCTTTGACTCTGTGTTTGAATTTAGAGTTCACAGGATCTCAACACTTGGTGACTGTCACCAGATCTCAGGTTGATGGACAATTTTTTACAACCGGAAATCAATCAAATTGAATCAACAGAGCTCAAGCCCAGGCTTTAAACATAGATCTTCATGATGAAAGTGGGACTTCTAACAAAATTTCATAAAAACCTAATTAACTCACATATAAAACCAAAACTGTTGACAAAGTCAGGGATAAACTAGCTCTGCAAACCTGAAGGTGTCTGAGAGCAAACAGGTCTCAACGGCTAGAGATGATGACTATAAAAACTAACATCAGATCTTGAAGATGCTGAAGAAGCATTAAATAAACTCAAGCAAACTTATAAACTCAAGGAAAATACCTTCATAATGGAAGAGATAATAGAATAGAATTGTGATATCAGGGTGAGCACCCCAGAACCATGACACCCTGAACCACAATACCCCATAATCATGGTATACCACACTTCCTACGGCCATTGATGTAACATTTGTGGGGGTGCGTGGAGACCCATTGCACTTCCACATCAGGAGGAGCTAGTTGAGGTGGCTCAGGCATCTGTTCAGGATGCCTCTTGGATGTCTCGCTGGTGAGGATTTCCAGGCACATCCAACCAGGAGGAGACCCAAAGTGGATACGCTGGAGGGACTATGTCTCTTAGCTGGTCAGGGAACGCCTTATGATTCCCCTGCAGGAGCTGGCCCAAGGAGGTCTGGGCCTCTCTGCTTAGGTTGCTGCCCCGCAACCCAACTCTGGATTATCCTGAAACAAACGTGGTCTAAAAACATATGTGAGGCTAAATAGTGTCAGTAAATCGTACGTGTGCCTGTAAATGACCAATGAAGCATCAACATGTATGTTGAGTTTTATCATGTTGAACCTACAGACTGTAACAACCCTGATTCACCAGGCAACCAGCTGAGTCACAGTTACAGCCTCCCCCTTAGCCTGGTTTCCATGGCGACAGACAGCATGTGAGACTTACCGTCTGTTTTTTTCTCTTTTGTTTTGCTGAATCGCCAAGTAAAAAGTGGTGCTGTTTCCATAGAAACAAACATCTGTACAACTATAGTAAAATGTTAGTATGCATATTAAATGTACTCAATACATTGATCTTATTTAATTGATATTTTATTATGCGACTTTAAAATGAGATTTCCCTCCTAATCCTGTCTTGAAGTTTAATAATTTAGTCTAAACCCCCAGCAGAACTCCTAAAGCCTTAAAACCCCAACTTTTACCAAATCAGGCTGTAGTTTATGCTCGTTCCAAAATGTCACTGATTTTTGTCTTGAATGACGAACTTTGATACTTTCTCAGTTGCTGAGTGGTATAAGTGTCAGCTCTGAGTCTGAGAGATTGTGGGTTCAAATCCATGATTGGGTCATACCAGACTTTAAAAATTAGGACCCAAAACCATCCTGCATGACACTCAGCTTTAAGGGGTTGGATTGGGCGGGTAAACCACCCAAAGGTTACCGAGCCCGGCCACTGCTGCAGCTCCCAATAGGGATGGGTCAAATGCAGATGTATTTTCACGTGTGTAATGATGATTAATGGGGCTTTAACTTGAATGTTTATGGTTCTTTTTTCTTACACTCTTCCGCCACCCGATGGTGAAATAATGTAACTACATCACCCTTAACAAAAAATGCAAATATGGTGCAAAAGTTAATTTATGGCAGTAATTGAACTTAAAAGGTGAAACTAATTTGAGGCAGACTCGTTCCATACAAATCCAGATGTTTCGGTCTTTATTTGTTATAATTATGGCTCACAGCTGATGAAAACCCAACATCCAAAATGTCAGTTATAATATTGTGAAAAGGTCCAATGCTCTAGACTCATATGTGTCACACTCTAATCAGTTAATTAATCCAAAACACCTGCAACAAGTTCCTGAGCCATAGACACAATCTCAATACTCGCTCTGCACCCTGTGATCTTCAGCAAAGTGCACTTGGAGAAAGTGCGCGTAGTACACAAGTGTGCAAATAATTGCCGAATTGAGACAGGGAGCATGACGTCATCGATCGCAACGCATGCCGGGATACTAGTCGCTGTGAAACTTTTTTCAAAAACCTTTAACAACTTTCAAACAAACAATGCAATTATTTGAAATAACTTTAACTTCATTGTTGCTTTGTCTAACATCCAGAGCATCAAATAATCGTCCTAAAATGAACTAATTTTATTAGAAAATACATATTTTCAGAAAAGGAAATTGAGCCTTTTCTCCTGCAGCAATGACTTGTGGGTAATTATCTTGCCTGAGATCAGCATCGCTGTGGGCATGTGAAGTGGGCGTGGTCAACATCCGCATTTGAGAATCGGGAAAGGGCTTGTTTTGAAATCATTAGGAAAGGAATGATTTTGCAGCCCTGGCCGGGAATGCGCAATTGAAGGGCGCGAGGGTGCAAGTGCGAGTATTGAGATTGGGCCTTAGATGGTCTCTCAGTCTAAGATGGATTACTGACAAACTTTTGCACATTCTCATTTTTTGTTTCACCTGTAAGTTCAATAAAAGTGCTGCAACAACTCAGCATTCATTCTTTATATTTTTCAAAATAAAATAAAAAACATTTATGCCTAGAATGTTCATTTGAAGCCATTTAATTTTATCTTGACAGTTCTATCAGGTTTGTTTTAAAACACTAGTTATGTATTAATGTGAAGCATTATAGCTTGTGCATTTCTACCCATAAGTATAACAATTTACTCAGAAAATCCACCTTACATGGAAAGAAATTAAGTATTCAGATGTGAAAGTATCAGTAAAAATATGCCATAATCTTGTATTGCATTAACCTAAAATGTGTTTTTCATACTTGTGTTTTATAGAAAATAAGTGGCTGCAGCACAAATTACAAACTCCACCTATAATGGTCACCTGGACATAAAAACAATCCATATTTCAGACAGCATGTTTATTTCATTTTATTCTCAGATGAAAAGGTTCTAACAGAACACTAATAGAACAGAGAAGTGTTATAATCAGCTTCTGAAATATAAAGAGAATGTCTGAATATAAATGTAAAAACTGAAAATTCTTTTTTATTTCTATAAACTAACAAATTACACAATAAATTGGCATTTCCTGTTGAGATTTGGTCTTACTCAGGCTGATTCAATGTTCTGAGTCGTGCTGTTTTAGGAGATTCTTTCCATCCTGATTTCTACTTCATCGTAACGCAGGTTTCCTTATTTGGAGCCATTTCTCTGAAAAATTTGTTTTGATTAAAACGCTGCACAGCTTCAAAACTGTTTCAGTTAAAAGAAGATAAAAACCGAGCAGCTTCCTGCAGCTGACCTCTTTTAATTCGCTAAAACTGAACCTCATTATTTCAAAACAAACCCTTTCAAAATAAAATGTTCGTCTAACTTCAGGCTCTCCTTTAAAATTATTGAATCTTTAACAAACTACAACTTTGAGATGCCAAACATAACAGTATTATTACAGAGTTATTTCTTATTCAGCTTGTTGATGCTGCTTGTCTGATGTTCCATTCCTGTCCCGATCATCCCCTTCATCCCAGTCATTATCACTGTCATCATACGGTCCATCATTGCGCAACACCACTGGTAAGATCTGCAGAGGGATTTCACTTCCTGTGTAAAACACAGGGAACAACCTCTCAGTCCAGGAGTGAGAGAAGCTATGGATGTTGGTTCTTGTGATGGGATCGGAAAACGTCAAGCTCCCTTTCTCCAAGTCCAGCTGGACACGGATGGTCCACAGCTTCCTCTTTGGGTGGTAAATGGTGGGACTCTGATGGGAGATGATGCTGTAATTCCCTTTGGAAAAAGCTACAGCCCACAATCCAGACCTGATGTTGACGCGTCCCTTCCTTTGAAAGGTTTCTGTTGCCACGCCGACAAACCAGGCCGTGTTGTCTCCGACTTCAACCACCCAGCTGTGAATACCTTCCACGTAGCCCTCAGAGGCCATGACGACCCCATGACACTCAAACCTCTCAGGGTTATCAGGAACTTTCCATTTCTCTCCTCGACTCACCCGGGTCAGGTTGCTGGACAGGATGAGTCCTGCTTCAGCCGTGTTTGGATCCAGAACCACAGGTGTGTGGGACACCAACCCCTTCATCCCTCTCCAGACACTGAAGCCCAAATTGCCCAGATGTTTGGCCTCATTGATCAGAGCTCCTGGAATTGGCTGTGGGTCTGGATGCAGGGAGTAGGACTGGACTCTCTCCACTGCAGCTTCATAGTTCTGCAGAAAAGTGACATCGTTACATGTCATCTCAGTCTCTGTGGCTTTGATTGCATCAGCAAGAGCTGAAATCTTTGTATCGAGATTATCGGTCTTCTCCTTCACCATCAGACGCTTGCTCCTCTCCTCCTCCTTCAGAGCAGCAATCCTGGTCGCCTCCTCCTTCTGCAGAAAGTGGTACATCCTCTTGAACTCATACTGGATCTCTGCCTCAGCGTGTCGGACTTGAACCTGGAGGTATTCTGCAGTTTCTTCATATTTTTCCCTGACACGTTTGAAAACCCCCAGTTTGTCCTGCAGGGGTGTGAGGGACTTCTGCAGCTCCTCTTTGCGGTCCCGGGACACCTCGTTGCTGGGTCTGAACCTGTGGTTTCTGTGGACATCCGAGTCCCTGCAGATGAGACACACCAGCTCATTGTGGTCCAGACAGAACAGCTTGAGTTTCTCTGAGTGCCGGCGACACAAAGGATCAACCTCTGCTGAGGTTTGTCTCTCCCGCTCCAGTAAAAACGCCTCACACGTGTTCTTCAACACCAAGTTACTTGTTGGCTGCTTCCGGTCTGATGTGGTCTTGCACACAGGACACTCACGTGTGTCTTTAAGCCTCCACCATTTCTCCAAACATTCCCGACAGAAGCTGTGGCTGCAGGACAGCAGGACGGGGTCCTTGTAGATGTCCTGGCACACAGGACAGCTGAGCTCCTCCTCTATCACTGCAGACGCCATCTTGTGTCAAACGAGCGCTAAACAAACACAGCAGAAACACTATGGTTGTAACGTATATTTATGTCGATGGTTGCAACAGAAAGTAAAAATAAAGGAAATTAGCCAATTTTCAGATGTTATTTTAGACTCCTGAAAAACTCACATTAGGAAGTTAAAGTCAGCAGCAGACAAGAAAAGAAGGTGAGTTACCGTCAGGGTCTTCTCTCAGCAAAACTTCTGCTTCCTGCTTCAATGACTTTGAGTCGCTTCGCAAATTATTTGCATCAGTTTCAGGTAAACTTGCTCCGTGGAGCGAAACGAGGCGACACACTTCTTCTTCTTCTTCTTGTTTATTGGCGGGTGGCATCTAACTTCTAGGTGCATTTCCGCCACCTACTGTGCTGGAGTGTGAGTCGGAGTAAGAGCGAAAAAAACAACAACAAAACAAAAGTAAATTCTATTCAACAGACCACAGTGCTTTAGATACCCAACAACCAACTTATAATTCCTTTCTTCACCAAATTCCTTACAGTCATCACTCCACCTCCTATGTCTCTTAATTTCTCCCTGAGTTGTCCTCTACTTTCCTCATATTTTATGCAGTCACACAAAACATGTTCCACTGTTTCTCCCCCCACTCCACATCCACACAAACTGGTGGGATGTTTCCCTATCAGATGCATTGTATTATTAAGCCCAGTATGCCCCATCCTTTGATCTCTACTATTCATTCTTATATTTTTCCATGTTCCTACTTTCCCTTGTATCTGAAACAAATGTCTTCCTTTCTCTCCCCTTTCATTCTTTGCCACTCTTCCATTATATGCACTTTAAGATTAATTTAATTTCAGCAGCACTATATGCAATATTTATTATTTCTCTCTCTCTTATTGCCTTTTTTTGCAAAATAATCTGCCATTTCATTTCCTTCTACTCCTCTATGTGCCGGCTCCCATAAAAATTTAACTTCTGTACCCAGTTTCCTTAATCTATATGGTCTCATATATTTCATATAATACATCTATTCGACTCTTGGTAGACATTAATTCAACTGACACTAATACAGATAACGAATCAGTACATATAATTCCTTTTTTAATTCTATTTTGTTCCATCCATTGAAGACTAAATAATATAGCTATCATCTCCACTGTGTACACAGATAAACGATCTGGAGTTTTTTCCCTAACTACTACTCCTATATGTGGTATTACAAATGCAAAACCGTTTTTTCCCCTACCAGTTCCTTTGATCCATCTGTAAATATATGCACAAAAGACTCATAGCTTTTTAATCTATCTGCTGTAATTTTATCCCAATTTCCTTTTCCCCCACTGCTTCTCATTTTATCATAAATACTATCAACACACACTTCCGGAACTATCCATTTTGGATTAACTGTATATAAAAACTGTTTAATTTGTACTTTATCTTGGATCTTACTCTCTTTTGCCCAATCTTGCACTTTCCAGCTACCATATTCCTTCTTCAATTTCTCATTTTCCCAACACGGACCCAGTGCCCTTTTCGCCATGTGTTCGTTGTCCTCACACCCTTGTATACTTGTGCAATAATTTAAAGCTATCTGTTTTATTCTAAGCTGTATTGGTATCTCTCCCATTTCTACCTGTAGTGCCACAATAGGTGTAGTTTTCATTGCTCCACAACACACTCTTAATGCTTGACTTTGTATGATTTCAATCCTTTTCATTAATATTTTAGATGCTGAACTACAATCTATCACTGATCGTATCATTGCACTGTACATGTAATTTAATACCTGAGCACTAGCCCCCCCAATCATATCCTCTCACACACCTCATTATATTTATTGCTTTTTTGCATCTTTTCTCCATTTCATTTATATCATCCTTCCATATTAACTTTTTATCAAATATTACTCCTAAATATTTAAACTTACCTACTTGCACCAACTCTTTTCCATACAATGTTAAATTCTCCATTAGAGGCGATACGCTAATCACAGGAACCAGTAAAGTAATGTTCATTCCATTCTTCAGGGACGAAAGAAAACGAACAAACGAGAACCAATCAAATGAACGCGTTTGAAAATAGAGGTGGGGCAAAATGGAATGCTGACCAATCAGAGTGTGTATTTGTCTGCGCAGCCGCACACGCCCCGCGCACCGAAAACCAGGTAAAACCAAAAAGATGTATTCGTCAAACTCTTGACCAGGAAAGCACATTTTTATCATCAAGTACACTTTTATTCCGTTTGTAAATCAAACCACTTATAAAATCATCCACTCTAGGTGTGACATAAAGCATTTGGTTTCAGAAATACAAATTTTCCTTGTTTTTTGAATTCCACACGTCCTGAATATGTTCTAGTTCAAAACCCAAATCTTTAGACACCAAACAAAAGCTCAGAAATCTTGACTTCATGGAAAAACACTCCAAGAGTTGTTGAAGTATTTGGGGTAGCCAACATTAGTTACTGAAAAAACAAAAAAAAAAATTATGACTTGAATTTTAGACATAATGAAATCTTTTCAATCCGAAATATTTTCTTTTAGAATAGAGAACTTATATAATTGTTATTTCTTGTGTTTAAAATGTTGGTAACACTTTACAGTAAGGGTCCCTTTAATAACGTTATTATTATCTATGGTTAGGTTAAAGGGCTAGGGGGGTGTCTACTAGTAACGCTTTATGTAATATGGTTAAGCAGTTGTTCATACTTTAATACTTTATTAATGCCTAATAATGCACTACAGTGCTCAGCATAAATGAGTACACCCCCTTAAAAAGTACGAATTTAATCAGTAGCTCAATGAACAGAAGGACAATTTCCAGAATTTTCACAAGGCTGCGTTTTATTAAACACTTGTTTAACTCCTTAACATGAAATTAAGGTTAATAATATATAACTTAGATCAGAAAATCTGCAGTTTTCCTGAAATGGGTTGAAGCAAAAAGGAATACACCCTGCAACAGAAACTACTACATCTATTATTTTGTATGACCACTGTAGCGGTCACACTTTATAACGTGACAACTGCAAATTAATTATGACCAATAAGATGTGATGATTCCATATAAATATGAAATATCAATCTGATTGATATTTGAATGTTTAATCTCAAGATTAAATTTACTTGCTCAGGGACCATAAACACACTTTGTATTACTTCAGACAGAGTCAAGTATAGTTAAAAAGGAATTTTATTCTTTTCTAAACAACTGATTATACATGACAAGATATGAATAATGAGATGTGATGGAGTGGATATGCGGTGATGGAATGTGATGTGTGAGGTGGTGTCATGTAATCTAGATGTTTATCAGAATCTTTGTATCTGAAAGAAATTATGAAATCTGGGTGTAAAAGAATTAGTTGTCTGCTATAAAATGAGTTGATTATTAATTAAACAGCATCAAACACAATCTTTTGTGTCTACAAACCCTGGTAGAGACCCCCAGCAATCCGGACTGTCAGAAGTCGAGTGGACCTCACGGCACTGGGATTTCGTAGATTAAACTCCGATACGACCCGTACAGTCTTGAGATGTCTCCAGGTCACAACAGTAGCTGGAATGCTTGTTTGCGTCCAAAGTGGATGTGGCTCTTAGGGAGCCGTCTGGCTGTGTCAGCTTGCATCGTGCAAACGGGTTTTGACTGTATGTCAAAGAGATGTCTCAAGGATGCTTGATCTGATTTGGCCGGTTCGGAACTCCGCCAGAAACTGAATTACTCGGGAAGTAATTCCTGTTTTATTAAACTACCTTGTTATAATTTCTGGACATTCTGGCAAATCAGAATGTGCCATCTCTGGAAGGCTTTACCAAAACATTCCTCAGAAAGCCACGCCTTCCTTCAGATACAAAAATGTTTTTAACCTTCGTATGTAACTTATTGTAATGTGTAAGAGTGTAAGCAATGATGGACTTGTTAAATCAAACACACAGTGATTTGTGATATAAATGAATCATTGTAAGAACAATATTCATTTCAAATTCATTGATTTAAGCACAGGTTATTCAACTTTTGTACGTTCTTGCTGTGTTTGTCTTCTAATTCCATTTTTGGCTCTTTTTTAAACACAGATAAGGTTTTTCTTTACCTTGCTGACGTTTCATTTGCAGCTGCAAACATCTTCATACAAATAAAATACTTAAAGAAGACCCAACGGAAAACATTAAGAAAAACATGAAAAAATGACTGAAGCCATTACAAGAAAAAGGCAAAATAACAGAAAAAATGTACAAACACTGGATTCCTACAGCAAACATAATACCAAGAATCTACAGAACTCCAAAAATACACAAACACAACACCCCACTTAGACTAAAAGTAGACAGCATAGGTACACCAACATACAACATGGCAAAAGAAATCAGCAAAATCATCAGCCCGTTAGGCAACACAGACTAACACTGCAAATATAGCATAGAACTGGCAAAAGAACCAAAAGAGATTACAATAGAAGATAATGACAAACTCATCTCACATGACGTCACATCCCTGTTCACAAAAACACCAACCCAAACACTACACCACGCCGGATGATTACTCTGGGTAGCTCTAGCCTCTAACTGGTCTCGATCCTGTATGGTTTTTTTGTGTGTGTGTGCTAGTTCCTGTGTGCTTTACTTGATCCTGTGAATTTTGCTGGATATCCTGCCGCCAGAAAAGCCCTGACTACTCTTCCCTGCTCCCCTCCAGGTTTCGCTCCACACTCCACCATCTCCATAACCAGCTCGGACTCCTGCAACCCAGATCACACTTTCTCCTCCCCTGGCCGCCCACTCTCAGCCGCTCACCTGCACTCATCAACCTCCGCTCCTACCTCATCCCTGGAAAAATAGTTTTTCATCGCCTTCTGGATCTCCGCAGCTCACCCGGGCCAGACCAACCCCTCCCCATATATTTGTCTCTACCGGAAAACGGTAAGCTCCCGCCTAACTACAAATTCTCAGATTATTCCCACCGCCACCGGATATTCACTCTGTCTCCCTCCTCAGAATCTCGCCCTGGAATCCTGCTACCACCGCAGAGCTTCATCTGTCCCCGTTACTCCTCTTAGTTACTCATTTACAATAAAACCTTTTTACATTGACCTGTTTCCGAGAATTGATTCTGCATGTCGTGCGTCAAGAAATTGCCACCCAACATGACAGACGATGCTTTGACTTTAGGTTGCTGCTGTTTGAAATACATACTTCACAGACTTGGTTCAGCAATTCAGTCGTTTTTCTTGTGCTTTTTAATACGGCTAAACTCACTGAAGCCACGGACAGAAGACTTGCTCTTTTTATTGTCTTTCAAGCAGCTTATAAACTGTTTGTGCTTTACCCGACTTTCTGTTTTAGAGTAAGTTGTTGGCAATTGAAATCAAAATCATACTATACCATACATGATCTTATTGCTCATTATCTCATGGTATTCAAGGCATTCAAGAATTTTAATTAGTCTCATGTGTTCATGTACAGAGTACAGGACAACTTTTCTATAAGCTGTGCAGAGAATGAAGAAAAAGCATTAAAGTAGCATGTGAGTTGGATGAGATGAGACATTAAGAGGGATAAAGTATCAGAAAATATTGAAAAAGTCAAGTTTGAAAAAGTGGCAGATTAATGACAGGTGTGTGTAGCTCATTAAAGTTCATGGAGGTGTACATGGTTTGTGCTTAAGTTCATTTGCACCAACCCTTGTCTTGTCAGAGGGTGGTAGAAACATTTATGGTTTGAGTGATAATGTACAATCTTTTGAAAACAAATGAGATAATTTGATTTAAAACTGTGAAATTAACAAAGATTTGCTATAAAATCACTCAAATGCATTCTAAGTAAATGTAGCAAATTAAACGATACAGGTGATGAATGTTGTCTCCTTTCTTGTGCATCAAGGTCGAAATGGACCAAAAAGAAAAGCCTGAAGTGAGAAGCCATCTGATACCTGGGAGCAAACCTGGATGCACTGAGTCCAAAACTCATGGGAGGGACCAGTGGGCTCTAAGATGGAGTTCATCATGGACGTAATTTTCACTTTAGAAGTGGGGGGGACATGGGGGGGGGGGTATCTTTACAGTATGCTCTAATGGGAAACAGGCTTCAACACAAACGGTTGTTTTCTGCTTGGTCCTACAGCTCAACCAGTGTCAATTTAATATAGCATAATATTATTTTTGGATGGTAAAAAGTGCAGGGGTCAAAACTTGACTTTGGAAAAAGTGGGGGGGACATGTCCCCCCTGTCCCCCCCCAAAATTACATCCATGAGCAGGACACATTGTTGGTGTGGGAACTGTGTGGGGGTTTCCTTACCTTTGCAACAAAAACGGAGGAGGTAAATCTGTTGCAGTCAGATGAATCTATGTTGATTTAACCAGGGACAGCAGTAGCTCAGGAGGTAGAGTGAGTTGTCCGGTACTCGGGAGGTTGTAGGTTTGATCCTCCCCACTTGACACTCAGCCTTAAGGGGTTGGACTGGGGGGGTTAAACCACCAAATAGTTCCAAAGCGCGGCCGTGTCTGCAGCTCACCTCTCCACCAGGGGATGGGTCAATTGCAAAGAACAATTTTCACCAGTGTGCGACAACTTGAAGGTTGCAGGTTTGAAATCTGCTCAGTCTGTTCCACCCAATGTGACCTTGCTGGTGGTGGTCGGGGGGACCAGCAGCGCCTTGTTTCCATCAGAGCGCCCTAAGGCAGCTGTGGCTACAATGTAGCTCATCATCACCAGCGTGTGAATGACTTTTCTCCTTCTTTGGTATTATTGAGCGGAGAACCTCTCACACCAGCGGCATTGTTGTTGAATATGTAAGTGTGTATGTGTGATGAGTGGAAGACCCAGGGAAGTCCAGCAGTTCTGTGAGACCAACAATTGATTGGTCCATTGGTTGCTTTCAGTCCAAAACGTGTTGTTGGTTCAGGTTTTTAGACAAATGTGAGATAACCACTTTGTTCATTTAATTTCAATTTTTTATAAAAATATTTATAGCTTTTCTATGTTAGAACATTGTTCAGAGGCAAATTTGCTGTTGCAGCTTTAACCTGGAATGCAGGATTTAGGCTTGAGCAGCAGCTGGAGAAAACACTAATACCATTCAGGAAGTTCACAACATCGACTGTTTATAAAAGATGGACAAACCCTCTGCGCCATCACCTGGAGGTTTCTGAAGAGCTGAATTGAAGTCCAGTCGGCGGGTCCCACCACCGCCATCTTGGCCGCATCACACATCTCATTACTTTCTGAAAATACAAAAATGGAGCTGTGAGGGTGGGGGCAGATTATTTACACCCATCCAACTGTGAGCCAATGCAGCTATGAGCTAACTGAGCTAATTGAAGCTAACGGAGGTTAGCAGGAGCTTTTGGCCAGAAAACTGTGGTTGAGCGACTCTGCTACTCCCTGCCTTCTAGGCTGTAACATTTCTGGCTTGAAGCAGAGGCCTTCCCTGGAGCAAGCAGAGGGACAAGCCGCTAGCTCTGACGGCTCTTCTGCTACCTGTCGATTATTCATAATTAAATCTAACTGAATGAGATACAACAAAAGTCCCCCCCCCCCCCCCCCCCCCCCCCCAGAGTGGTCAGGACTCTAAACTAGATCTAATGAACCTAAGATGGCTTTTGAACCAGGATGTTAACATGTTCATTTGTGGTGTGAAATGGGCATTTTTAACATGAGTCAACGGGAGCTTTCTCCTTTCTGGAGTCAGCCCCTGCTGGGGGAGGGAAGGGGGGTCGCAATTTTTGTCACTTCTGCATTGGCATCAGACTGCAGGATTTAAAATCTTGTTTCCTGATGCTTGGACATCTCACCTCTGATTGGCTAACAGCAACACAACTCTACCACTGACTCTGTTTGCTCTGCATTGTTGATGTTTTATCTCCACAAATAACACAAGTCTTGAGGAGTTCTGCTGTGTGGTGGAGGAGCTAATGCTAACATTAGCTTCTACTAGCTGAGATGTTCTCTGCTGTTTCCTTGACCTAAACCAACAACAGCCTTCCCTGTTGTGAGTCAAGATGGGTGAGTCCATGAAGTGTGACGTAGATCTCTCAGGATTTTCTAATCCTAGAGTTTCACCGTCTGTTTTCTATCAGAAGATAATACACGAGATAGGTGTAGGAGACTATTTTCATGTTCAGTCTGCATGAAACACTCAGAGTGATCTGTTAGAATCAGAAATAATCATCAAAAATGTTTTTTCAGTGACCCACACCTTTAAGATCAGATCAGAAATGTAAAACCTGCACAAAATAAGGATTCTATTCTTATTTCACCCAAAACTTCTTGTTGAATAAATTTTTAATGCAACCACCTTGGTTTAAACACGCACGCACACACACACACACACACACATACACACACACACACACACACACTCTTTCACATGCGACTTGTTAAACATGCACCTTTGTCTCCTTCAGCGCATCAGTCCATCTCTCTCCCTCTCCCTCTCTCTCTCTCTCTCTCTCTCTCTCAAAACCTTGAGCAGTGTGTTCCTTTCTTTCTTCAGCAGCTGTAGGTTGTTTTGTTCTACAGATGTTTACATGTGTTCTAACTTGACTTGTGTCTCATAAACAACTCATCACCAGTTGTTCTTGTACCCTTGCAAGGGTGATGGAGGGGGCATGGGAGTTTGCCCAACCAATCCACATGTGCTTTGTGGATTTGGAGAAGGCTTATGACCGTGTCCCCAGGGGCACCCTGTGGGGGACGCTCCAGGAGTATGGGGTGGGTGGCTTTCTGTTAAGGGCCATTCAGTCCCTTTACCAGAGGAGCGTGAGTTTGGTCCGCATAGCCGGTAGTAAGTCGGACCTGTTCCCAGTGAGGGTTGGACTCCGCCAGGGCTGCCCTTTGTCGCCGGTTCTGTTCATCACTTTTATGGACAGAATTTCTAGACGCAGCCGTGGTGTGGAGTGTGTCGAGTTTGGTGGCAGGAGAATCTCGTCTCTGCTTTTTGCGGATGATGTGGTCCTCCTAGCTTCATCCAGCTCTGACCTTCAGCTCTTGCTGGGTAGGTTCGCGGCCGAATGTGAAGCGGCTGGGATGAGGATCAGCACCTCCAAATCTGAGACCATGGTTCTCGACCGGAAAAGGGTGGCTTGCCACCTCCGGGTCGGGGGAGAGGTCCTACCTCAAGTGGAGGAGTTTAAGTATCTCGGGGTCTTGTTCACGAGTGAGGGTAGGAGGGATCGGGAGATCGACAGGCGGATTGGTTCGGCGTCTGCAGTGATGCGGACGCTGAGCCGATCTGTCGTGGGGAAGAGGGAGCTGAGCCAGAAAGCCAGGCTCTCGATTTACCGGTCGATCTACGTCCCAATCCTCACCTATGGTCATGAGCTTTGGGTAATGACCGAAAGAACGAGATCGCGGATACAAGCGGCCGAAATGAGTTTCCTCCGTAGGGTGGCCGGGCTCAGCCTTAGAGATAGGGTGAGGAGCTCGGACATTCGGGAGGGACTCGGAGTAGAACCGCTGCTTCTCCGGATCGAAAGGAGCCAGTTGAGGTGGTTTGGGCATCTGGTCAGGATGCCTCCTGGACGCCTCCCCGGGGAGGTGTTTCGGGCATGTCCTGCCGGCAGAAGGCCCCCGGGTCGACCCAGGACACGTTGGAGAGGTTACATCTCCAATCTGGTCCGGGAACGCCTTGGGGTCCTGCCGGAGGAGCTGGTGGACAAGGCCGGGGAGAGGACGGCCTGGAGCTCCCTAATTGGGATGCTGCCCCCGCGACCCGGACCCGGATAAGCGGAGGAAGACGAAGACGAAGACGAAGACTTTGAAATCACTAAATTGCCTTTTAAATGGTCTGAATTTCATACACAAGTATTGCATTATTGGAAGATGGTATTTATCCATAATTTTACCACACATTGTGCCACCTAGTGGAACAATCGAGTAATTGTTTCAAACAGAAAGTCTGTTAAACCAGCAGTGGTTTGATCAAGGAATTATCTTTGTACACGATTTTATGGATAAAGATTGTGAAATATTACAGCTAAAGAATTGTAAATACAAATTTAATAACATTGAATGTTCTCTTAAGGAATATAAGAAAGTATGTAAGGGATTTTGACACAACTGATAAAAAACACAATCCTCTTTTCTAATGTTCAAACTTCCTAATTTATAAATTAGGCCGCGTGACCTCTTACCTGCGTGTTTTCGCCCTCGCGGAACGCAGAAGCGACTCTTTGCCACAGAAATGTTCCCAAATTGCGGGACTTTTTGGTCTCGTCTCGGGGCCATTCCTCACACAGCTTTAAAAATCGACGATATCTTGTCGCAGACATCTTTGGTCATGTAATATTTACGCGAACGAGGCACAACGAGGACGTTCACGGGTTGAGCCTTTTCGGACACCGTACTTGTGTCGCATCTTTACTGTTCCCCCTTTAACTTCTGCTGGGATCTTTTCCTTTGGCTCTTCGCTGTACGATGAGTCGACCAAATGTGAAAAGGGCTCTTCTTTCAATGTGGTTTAGTGGGTCAACTCTACCTGTCGGTTTGCAACAGAAGAAATGACTCCAGAACATGAGGAAATGTAAAATCTAATGCGTTTGTGCGATGGCTAGCTGTGCCGTTAGCATTAGCACACACTTCTGTTTGCCCTCGTTCACAGTCAGATTAATGTAACTCCTCAGCTAAAACATTCAGAAATGACAGTTTGATTTTAAATTAAATTATTAATGATTTTTTTTATTCTTTGTGCAAAGAGTTTACTGTTTCAAATGAAAATTAAACGTAAACTATACATATTTGTTGCTCTGGGGTTATTTGTCATTAGGCATTTTTAAAATCAACTAACATGTTATATTTTTAGTTTTTTTATGTTATAATTTAAGACAAAACTAACATCTGTTTAAAAACATTCTTAAACCTCATAATTGCCTTATAGTTTCGGTTCCAGAAACTAATTGCTCAAGATTCAGGAAGTTTTAGCTGTCCTAAATGTGGAATGAGGCCTCTGATTGTTCTTGGTTATTATAAATTACTGTGCGATCTTTGAATGTCTTGTTTACATTTTTAGGAATCTTCTGGTCAACTTAGGCTTGTTTGCTGCAGGCGTCAGGGTTGCAAGAAATCTCTCAGATTTTGACTTGATGTCTCCTCAGCCAGTGACCTAATGTGTCACAGTTAAGCCAGGATGATGGTGATTATCTTCTCAGTTACGCTAAAACAATCCAATTACTGTAAAAGTTAAAAGCTTTATTTCTAACTGACATGTTTCTTTTCTTTTAGGCATCTTAAACCAACAAAGAAGAAACAAACAACTCCAATAAATACAGAAATATTTCTTGTGCTACTTTGGAAACAAATCATCTCACCTCTGATTATCTTAAAACAAATAATTACATTTAAATAGCATCTTTGTGAGTGTGATCTTTTAGTCAGACTGACTGCTAGATGTTCACCCATTAAGGACTTTAAATTTGTGATTTTATGCAGCCATGTCAGTTCAGGACCTTTATGTAGACGTAGCCCACAAATATCTGTCTGCTGGTAGAAAATCTCTGTCTGTTCCTCAGAGTCTGGACCTCGCTGCGCATGTCTCGGCTGTGGAGGCGGGGTTGAAACCTGCTCTTCTTTATGACAGTAATGGCGCCTGTGCAACACAGGTCCAGCAGTATCTGAGCTCCTTGCAATCCCTCCAGCTTGTGTCTGAATCCCTTTTCACTCTGGATTTAAATGGAAACAGTCTCATCGTCAACACAGGAGCGGTCAGATTAAATCTAGAGCGGGTGCTCCGTGATGACAGCTTGGCTGTTATTGATGTTTGCCACTCGCTGGACCAACCTGCTGTTTTTAACTCACAGAGAGGAGAACTGAAGAGTGTGATGGAGGATTTGCTCCTGCTTCTGGAACATGAAGAGGCTGAGAAACCTCTTTATGTTGAGAAATCTGAGGAGTGGAACCTGTGCGCAGTGTTTGGAGTCTTACTGGGTTTCCCCGTCACTTACTGGTTCGATCAGACCGAGAGCTTTGAAAACTGTCTGTCCATGACTCCTCTGATGGTTATAACGGCTTCAGCGTCATGGCAGGCAGATGGCCCCCATCACAGATGTTGCCTGTATTCCTTCACCCTCCCAGCTGCTCTGCAGGAAGAGACACAGTCCAAGCTGGAGGACTGGGAGCTTCGTCTGCAAGAAAGATTTAAACAGCAGCGCATCTTGAAGGATCTGAGGATTAGTCAAGCCACGGTCTCTCTGCCATCAGTCTGTTTGTGATGCTGGTAAAAGTCTGTTTTAATATAAAATCGGTATTCTTTTAATCTAAAGCTAGGTGCAATAACATTGAATTGGGTCATTTTCTTCATTTTGTACCATTTAAGTGTGGGGAAAAAAACCTATTTTCATTAATTGTCTGATGGGAAATTTCACATGCCACATTCTTTTGACAAGTACACATAAATAATGTGAGCTTAAACGGTCATTAAAAGAACACAATCCAGTAATGCCTCTGTGAATACTTTGGCTCTAAAGATATAATAATTAGCAACATTTGCTTGGCCCTCTGAAACTAAATTTGGCTCATTAGAAAAAGTTTGGACCATAAAAACCTGAAAACATTTATTCTTGATAGGATTGACAGATTCATGATTTCATTCCTGTTTCACTTTTTAAAAAAATCTAGATTTATCAGATGTTTGAGTCGTGAAGCAAAGTAATTAAATGTAGCAACTCAAATTTGATTAAATATGCCTTTGATCCTAATCTAGTGCAGGATTTTTGGAGGGCAACAACAAAACAACCCAGATGCATTTTGGTCCAGATGAGTCGTACTTTGGATTTTTATTGTATCTGTAGCTTGTAAATGCAGATTAATGATCCGTTTATCAGGAAACAAGAAACTATGGGTTTGGCTAACAAATGCTCATCAATAATATCAATTCTTTGTAAAACAGATCCTGTTAACTTGTGCATCTTTAAGAATTCAAGTCCTTTTTCACCAGCAGTAAGAAAATTTAGTACAAATTTCTGAACTTGCACATGAAGGTGTTTAATCTTGAGAAGATTTTGCACAAACTTCATCTTTGAGTGGCAGATTTCATAAGACAATGCTCACCAGATGTCTCAATGAACGTGTTTATTAAATACATTATGAAGACAATCAGAAAGCTTCCCAAAACCAAACTAAGTTAACATGAGAATCCTAATCTCAGCTACAGTTACAGGCCCTATTTTTGCAAAGAACAAATGTTCTCACTACAGTAGTTTCTGTTTCCACTTTATATAAAATGCTATTTTATTAAATTATAGAAATAAAGGCAGTTAAAGAACTTGGCATATAAATTTTTTGTAAACATAATTTTCTGACCCTTTAAAACCATTTATCTAATTTAAAAGAGACATATTATGCCTAATTCACCTTTTGTTCAGCCATCTCTCATGTCTAAATATGCCAGAGACAAAATTGTGGGCCTCCATAAGGATGGAAAGGGTTGATCCATTTTCACCAAGTGCAGCTTTAGAGGTAAATGTTTGGTGGATGTTTGTGTGAAGAACATTGGGCTCACCATTCTTCACATTTTTAATGAGCTTTTCCCTGAGCAACAGATCATCAAAGCTGAGGCAAAACAATGCATAATAGCAGACTAGCCACCAGTAGTACACAGGTCCTCCACTAGAGGGCACATCAAGTAGCATCTATTGTGTATTTTAAAGCTTAAAATACTGTTTTTACGTGTCTTAATTACTCATCACTTAAACATACTAAAGATATTAAGTCATAATTCAATGTCTCTGCATTTTATGGCAAAATGTTTAAACTTCAGATCTTCACTCTGCTGAGAAGACAAGCTGAAGTAGATGCTCTCTGCTGCTGGAAGGACCACAGGCTGGGAGATCCGAGTGTGTCTGCAGCTTTTTCTTCAGGGGCCCTAAAGGGGTCAGCCAGTCCTCTCTGCATGATTCTGGCCAAAAACAAGACTCTTCATCTTCCGTGGTGACGTTGCAGCCTTGTTGAAACACGGTGCATAACTCCAAGCCTCTGGAAAGGAGGATGCTACACCCTGATGTTTGAGCCACTTACAAACCTTTAATTACATCTAAACAAAACAACCAGAAACACCAAACTGTTGCTATATACATGACAACTTTTTCAAACAAAACAAAGTTTTTAGTTTTGACACCATGAGCAAAAGCATTACAACAGTTTAGCTTCATAACCAAAATTTAAACATTTTGTTAACTTGAACATTGAAACTAGAAAATTAACTGAATGGTCCCAGCACTCCTTTAAATGTCTGAGCTGCCCTGGACCCTGGGGCTCCTCTTAAATGTCTGAGCTGCTCTGAGCCCTGGAGCTCCTCTTGGCTTGAGCTGCTCCGGGTCGTGGGGCTCCTCTTAAACGTTGGAGCTGCCCTGGACCCTGGGGCTCCTCTTGACCTTTGAGCTGCTCCGGGTCATGGGGCTCCTCCCATCTTCTGAGCAGCTCTGGAACCCGGCGCTACTCCTCTGGCTGGAGCATCTCAGTGCCTGTGCAGAAAAACACAAGTAACCACACTTTACTAACAGGATCTTGAAATCATCTTAGAGACTTCCAGTAACCACACTTTGTTCGTACTCATGTACAGAAACAAGACAAACTCTCTGTTACTAAAACACAAGTGAAAAATCTGAACTTTGACAAAAGTCTCGTCTCAGACTTACGTTGCTTGGGCATCTGTTGACCCTCACCATGCTGGGCCAGCTGCCGTTACTTCCGTTGGACTGGGGGGTCTACATAAACAAAAGTGTGTGTGAGAAAAGTGATGCATTTCAAAAAGCAGCACTTGAATGCACCCGTCTCAAGGTGGTGTTGCTGCTCAAATAGTGGATTTAAAGGACAGGTTGCTTCAGAGTAACTTACAGGTCCAGACGGCGAGCCAGTTGGTGGCCCTGAAGAGGCCGACAAAGGGTCCGACCGAGACTCGGACCTGGAGGAGTCGGTCTCTACAGATGATGATGTCTGGGGAAAACAAAACATTTCAGGCTCCTTGTGCTACAATTAAGAAAACGCTCTGTGGTGGTGTGCAGAAGCAGATTCATACCGTACGGTCAAAGCGTAGCATGACCATGCCCACCAGGAAGCTTAGGAGGAGGTCCTTCCCAATGGTTATGACGGTGATAAAGTACAGTGCGATGTATGGAGAGTTGTATAGCATCGCACTGTACATTATCACGTTCCAGCTGTCCCCGGTGATGATCTGAAATGAAAATAAACATAAACGTTTATAAAAAACGGAGTCAAGTCACGACTGAATATTAGGAAGGAAATAATACCTGGAAGACGGTGAGCATGGACCACCACAGCGAGTCAAAGCTGGCCTGGGGATGAAAGAGTCCTCTGACCTCCCGCGGTGGAAAGTTCTCGCTGCTGAACAACGTCATGCCCCACATGCTGCAGCGAGAGTCAGCCAGATCCTTATTATAGCAAATTGTGTGTGTGTGTGTGTGTGTGTGTGTGTGTGTGTGTGTGTGTGTGTGTGCGCGTGCGTGCGTGCGTGTGTGTGTGTACGTGCCTGAAGATGTAGACTATGAAAAAAAACATCATGGAGAGATGCAGCGACTGCCTGATGGATCGCTTCAGGATCTCCCACTGCCTCTTCAGCTTAGGAGAGAAGTTGGACAGCATGCTGATCCGAGTGGCGCGGAACGCACGGAGGACGTAGAGTCTGGTCTCGGTTTGCCACACGATTTCCACGATGCTGAGAAAACAACAAAAATGGTTATCACAGCAAAAAATAAACCATCAGTTCTCAAAAGCAAAGGTTGACTGAGATTGTTCTACCCGATGATGATGATGGCGAGGTCCACGACATTCTCCCAATCGGTGAAGTACTCGATCCTGTACAGGAGGACATTCACCACCAACTCCGCTGAGTACATCCCGATGAACACGCAGTTGCACGTGTCCAGGGCTGTAGTCAGAGCCTCGGGCTTCAGGAGAAGATCCAGAGTCAAGAACATCATGAACATGAGATCACTCAGCTGGTTTTTACATTTTTACCAGAAAACATTGATAAACTTTTGGAGTTGTTATAAACTCTTATTGTGGAGAGTTGACAGAGGAGAACTGTCTACTTTCTACAGAAGCAGCCAAAATAAAACCTCGGTGACAATAATAATAAAAACATTAGACTGTTTCATCATTAGCCTGATGACCATGCTTTTCATTCCATAGAATTAGATGGTGTGAGTGTTCATCTGTAAGTGCATTTCAGTCCTGCTGAGGGTAGGAGGCTTGGACCCAAAACACAAGAACCCAGAACTACACAGGCAGGAGCGGTTTGGAGGAGTAACAAAAAACTCTAAAGCACAGGAGGCTACTAGAACAACACTGAAAGACAATGGACCAACAAAACACTGAGACAAGACAGGTTATATACACAGGGGCTGGGTGATTGAGGGAATTGGGCAAAGGCGAGACGACTAAAGTGAGAGGAGGAGCAGAAACAGGCAGGGGAGAACACCAGACCGTAATCCTGTCAAACAAAGCTACTAAACTAAAATAAACCTAAACACTGTAGAACAAAGACACAGAAGAACTAAAGATAAGTAAACTAATGACCTAAATGGGGAAGGAAACACACTAAAGGAGATACGACTAGATAATCTGAACAAATAGAAAACTAAAAACAAGTGAAGTGACTAGGGGGAACATGAGGGGAACCTGGAGGGAGCTGGGGACCAAAGGGACACAGAGCATGACACCGGCGTGTTTCACTGTCAAACATTCAATTATCGAACAAAACAAAAACAGATAAAATAACTTTTTAGAGGATCTTACCTGGCCGTAATGCTCAATGGACATGGCGATGAGGTTGGCGAGGATGGTGAGCGTTTGGATCCACCCCAACAAGTCGCTGTTGAGGAAACGCTCAATCTTCTCCATGGTCGGGGACTGGGCGTCAAACTGGGAATGAGGAGAATGGGTTCAGAGTTGCTGGAGGATGAGCAAAAAAAAATCTATTAGCTGAACGTGTTTTAGTCTCACCGAACGTGAGCGGCTCTGGCTGCTCCACCAGCGGTCGCTCTCCGTGGACAATCTGAGACACAGAGAGAGAGAATGAGCGGATCCCGCTGCATCCGTGCACGTTCAGCCTCAGCAGTGATGGGATTTGCTGTGGTGTGAGTGAATGTGTGACTGCTTTTGTGTCATCTTTGTCTCTACGTGGCAACCTGTCCAGGGTGATGGCTGGAGACCAAAGCAGCTCCCAGAGACCCGACTGAATGAGTGTTTGTGTGAACATCTGTACCTGACGCAGCGATGCTCCCACAAGTACAGCTTCATCCTGTACAGCAGGTCCAAGCCGTCCACAAAGAAGCCCCTCTCACGTTCAGGTTCATCATCATCGTCAGCCTTCACAAAGTGAATGGCGACGATCACCTGGAACGTGTTGATGGCGAGGAAGGAGACGCTCTGATTAGAGGGACACAAAGAGGAGAAGAATGTCACATCTTCTCCTAGCTTGTTGTAAAACGACAACAACCATGTTGGTGCAAAACCCCATAAAATAGCAGTATTTAAAAGTCAAGCAGATACTTACACCAACGAGGATGAAGAAAATCAAAAAGCTGGCCCCGAAGGAGACGTCCATCACATAGTTCATGATGGTTGTCCATCCTTCCAGTGTGGTGACCTGATTAAAATCACAAACATCATGTGTAACGTCTATTAAAGCATTAGAATTCACAAATGCAACAAATAATCAAACAGGGGTCAGAAACCGTGAACCTGTGGGCAGATTTAGGCTGATTCCCACCTGGTACACGGTGAGCATCCCATATCCAACGTTGTCAAAGCTGATGCCCCCAAACCCCGGATTTGGGCCCAGCGGAAGACACGCGTTGTACAGGACATTCCAGTTGATGCAGGCTGTTGAATTGGTCAAGGCGCTGCTGTTGGCCAGTAGTGCAGATGACCAGTTTGCACTGGGCGGGGCCAACATGCAGGTCTGTCCATTCTGGCGCAGCGGAGGAATGTCCTTGCACTGGCGTATCCCGTCGGGGTTCGGCGAGCAGAGGAACTCAGAGAACTCATCAGGAGAGGACTGATAGTACTCGCTCATGTTCAGCTTCAACCTTTGGGATTAGAAAAGAACAGAAAGAAGAGATTATAGGCTGCAACATTTACAAGACTGTCACATCCAAAATCTAAAATCAAATAAAAGTTGTCTTCTACGCTAAGGCACAAAATCTTCAGGGTGAAACAAATGCGCTGGGCTGAAGGATGAGTGTTTGTAAAGCAGCAGAAGGAACACACATGAAGTGGTCCAACAGAGAGAGATGAGAGGAGCAGACAAAATCATCGCCTTACGCAAGGTCCAGGCCGCTCGTGTAGCACCGATGGTGGAGGTCGCCGGCCCACAGCTGGACCCCCATGGTGCCGAAGATGTACACCATAGACAGGTACATGAGAATGTACTCTGCTATGATGGGTATGATTTTCACCACAGTCTTGATCCACCTTCGCAGTTCTACAGGAATGTAGACACAAACAACCAGATGTTTAGATGTTTGACGAAAACCTTCCCCTCGTGGCTCCTCACAAACGTCGTGTTATTTACGAGTCACTAGGAATACGTTTTCATGAATCTACATGTGTTTAGATCTTAGATGGATCTAAACACAAATCCATTCATTATAAATAGATTTGTCAGTACTAAAAGTGAAGGCTGGTGTTTGAATGGTGGCAGACAAAGGTCCTTCTGTGCTCCGTCATCAACTTACCCCTCACTCTGATAATCAGTCTGACCACCTTCAGTGGGTAGCTGATCCTCAAGTGCATCTGGGACCAGAAAAGGAGGCAGTCCACGATCCTGACGGGGGGAAAAAATTAAACGTTTTAAATCTGTCACTTCAGTTAAAATTAAACAATGGTTTTCATCTGCAAATAGTAAATAAGTAAACACTCACTCAAAAATCAGGACAAATAACTCCACCCGGTTCCAGATGCTACGAAGGTGACCCCGCTCCCTGCAGATGCCCAGCGACGCCATCTTCAGGAACATGTCAAAAATGAAGAAGCAGATGCAGCCGAGGTTGATGAACTGAGGAGACATGGTTAAAAACAGCAGGATTATAATAAAACAGCTTAAACAGATGTGGGGAATATGCCAGGGCTCGCACGTACCCTCAGGTGCTGGGGCTCCTCACCGATGGGGCTGTACATGCTCACGCTCACAATGCTGGTAAGGATTACAAGCACCTTGAGCAGGTCCCAAAACGTGGAAAAGGTTAAGGCCAGAACATGTTCAGATAATCCAAATACAGATTACAGGCACAGATTAAACAGATTACAACCCACCAGAGGTACCTAAACATTCAGTTCTGTCACAAAGACATGTCCTGTCTCATTTAAGAAGCTTCCTCAGTTCTAATCTAAAAGATGAAAAGTTTCACGCTCGTCCAGTACCAGTTTCCTGGAAGCATGGAATTCTAAAGCTTCCAGTTGTGAATTGAGAAAGTTTGTGAATGAGAAACAAAAAATAAATAAATAAATAAATAAATAACAAAAAGCAACCCCAGCCGATCTTCTCAGCCAAAGGTACTTCTCTCAGTAAGAAAAGGATATGAGGTGTTGACCATTGTCTTCATTCCATTCCATAGCTCTGCTTTTACTCTCAGAGGCTCAGAGGAGCTGCTGCTAGCCATGGTGGCTGGTGGCTGGTGGCCGCTGAAAAGTAAAAAAACAAATAAGTAATAAGTGAAGTTAAACCTAAACTACAATTAAGG